AGGAAGGAAGAGGCTGTCCCTAGCCGCCCACCTCCTCTCTGGCGATGAAAACGGGAGGGGAGTCGGCCACAGATAGACCGCGTTCTTCCTCAGGGACATTACAGATCAGGCCCCACATGGAGAAATGGGGGGATCCCGAGACACCCCCACACCCCAACTCGTGAACCTAGTGCTGGGTGAAGACACTCCCAGTAAGGGACAACAGGGGGATTTAAATCGGCGAGATTCAGGCCTCTTAAGGCACCTTCCTCTTAAAGCAAGACTGAGACCTGTTGGTCCCCTTCCTCTCTCCCAGGGGGGCTTGTACGAGACAGTGAACGAAGTGTACAAGCTGGTCATCCCCATCCTGGAGGCCCACCGAGACTTCCGGAAGCTGACCTCCACCCACAGCAAGCTGCAGAAGGCCTTCGACAGCGTCCTGAGCAAGGTAGCCATGGCCTCACCGACTGCCCTGTCCCAGAGGGACCAGGCTGTACCCCACCCACATCCCCAGAGACAGACAGCTGTCCCAGAGAGACCAGACCAGCCCCAAGGAACTGTGCCTCTTAAGCACACCATGACACGGATGGGGCAGGGTGGCTCAGTGGCTGAATGCTTGCCTTCGGTGTGGGTGACCGGGTTCAAGCCCCAGCCACCACCCGTCTGTCAGCAGAGGCTGGTGGTGTGTTGCCCTGATACGGACCAGGTTTCAGCCAAGCTTTTTTCCAGGCTAAGAGAGACCAGGAAGAAAAACCTGGCGACCTGTCTTTGAACATTAGTCGTGAAGACCCCAGTGGGTCACGCGTGGACAGGCCCGGGGCTGGGCCAGGGAGACAGCAGCTTAACAACTACAAAGCCCCCCAGCAGCCCTACAGAGGAGGCTGGGGGTAGATGGGAGTCCAGAATCCAGTGTGGGAAAGAAGGTAGGCTGAATGCCTTTAGAACCGCAGGTGTGAAAGTCACTATCGATGCACATAGAAGAAGTGCCCGAAATCCTTCAAGGGCTTCCTCCACTTGTCCTGTCTGTCCATCCCCAAACTGGCTCCATCAGCATCACCAGCTGTTAAAGGTGTGTGTCTGAGTGGAGCACAGGTGTCAAGCTTGCCCTGAGGGCCCAGCTGAACTCAGGGAGGTTGTCCGCTTCCTTCCTCAGGGCCAGAAGAGAATGTTTGGGACCTATTTCCGGGTTGGTTTCTACGGATCTAAGTTTGGGGATCTGGCTGACCAGGAGTTTGTGTACAAAGAACCAGCCATCACCAAGCTCCCAGAGATCTCTCACAGGCTGGAGGTGAGCAAAGCTATCGTGTGCTGGACCATGCATGTCTCACCGTACCACGGGCCAGTGAGAGCGCGTGTGACACAGCTCGCATCCTGGGCCCAGTCTGGGAGCCTGTCCACCCTGCTTCCGTGAGATGAAGGTGTTTGCTGGGGTCATGCAAGAAAGCAAGATTCGGGGAGATTTCCCCCAGAATGCCTGTCCCTGCCGGTCAACCTCAGCAAGTTGATCCTGTGAGCAGTTCTTCTCCAGACGCGGGGACTGCGCTGCCACACCACTCACACACTCATTCTCGAGGCGAGGCACGCAGTTTGTCTCCTCACGCATCCTGGGTGGTCTTGACCCCCAGGCTTCCAGGGTACCCCCAAAACAGCACCACCCCCAGAGAGCTGCGGTGGGAGAGAGGTGGAGGG